ACTAGACCCACTCAAATGGGTTATTCTATCATATTTTAAAAATTGTCAATTAAAATTTTTTCTATTTTCACATATTTAAAACAAGCTCCTAGAATGCAACAAACATTTCCTAAAAAAATATTTAAATATTTTATATCTCTTCCTGAACAAGAATCATGTACTGTGCCCAGTCAACAACACTGACAAAGTTCTCTGCATTTGCCAGTAACTACAGCGCTTAATTTTTAACTTGATGTCTAAATTGCCTCTTCACCTCTGTGCCTAGCAAATATTCAGCCGCAGCAAAGCAGTGGGTGAAAGAGCTCTGCCATGGTGTCTAAGAAATGGATTTCTGTGATTCTGCTGCTGCAGTTCTGCTTTACGGGCTCTGGCTTCTGTGGGAAGGTCCTGGTGTGGCCCTGTGACATGAGCCATTGGCTCAACCTAAAGGTTATTCTGGAGAAGCTCACAGAAAGGGGACATGAGGTGACTGTATTGGTTCCTTCAAACTCTATCATCATTGACTACAAAAAGCCTTCCACACTGAACTTCGAGGCGATCCCTATGGCTCATGAGGGAGAGGATGCTGCAAATAAACTAAATGACTTCTTAGACATAGCTACTAATGTCATGCCGACATTGTCACGCTGGCAGTCAGCAAGAAAAATGCAAGAATTTCTTTTTCAACTAACTGGACATTTAAAATTTCTGTGTGAGAGTGTAGTCTACAACCAGTCGATCATGAAGAAACTCCGGGAAACCAACTACGATGTAATGGTTATAGACCCTGTGGTGCCCTGTGGAGAGCTGATTGCTGAGTTGCTGAAAGTCCCTTTTGTGTATACACTGAGGTTTTTTATGGGTGGCACTGTGGAGAAATACTGTGGGAAACTCCCAGCTCCACCTTCCTATGTGCCTGTTGTCATGGGGGGACTACCAGACAGAATGACCTTCCTGGAAAGAGTAAAAAACTTAATGCTTTCCTTTTTCTTTGACTTCTGGCTTCAGCCATATGACATTCAACTTTGGGACCAGTTTTACAGTGAAGCATTAGGTAAGAAGTTATGCTTTTCATTCTTAAGAGGTTTAAGAAAAGTCTAGGAAAATGAAAAGACAATATTTTAAAACTTTAGTTTCTACTTCAAAGTCTATAATTTATAGCAATAAACTCATCAGTATTAACCGGGAAGGGAAAGTGAGAAATATCTTGCTGTGGTTACTTTTTCTTTTTTTAAAAATATATCTTTATTGATTTCAGAGAGAGGAAAGGAGAGGGAGAGAGAGCGATAGAAACATCAATGATGAGAGAGTCATTGATTAAACCCACAACCCGGGCATGTGCCCTGACCAAGAATCGAACCCCGATCGCCTGGATCCCAGGCCGATGCTCAACCGCTGAGCCATGCCCGGCCGGGCTTTGGTTACTTTTTCTTTACAGTCATCTAATCATTTTGTAAAGTATTTTTGATACTTAATAGATTGCTATCAAAACAAAATATAAAACATACTAATTAATGTCAATCCAAATATATACTTGTATTTGTATACCATTAAAAAACTAAACACTAAAGTGCTGAGGGAATCACATTTAGATGGTAGACATAAAATTTCCAACACAATATTCTTCGCATGTTATTTCCCCTGAAGACCTTCCAGTCAGACAAGATGTGGAGATGAAAGACAGTGATATTGATCATCCGTCCTTTGTAGACCTAAGCTAATGTATGTGTTTGTCTTAGTTTTTAACAAAGAGGTTTAGAAAGTTTAAACTTTTTAAAGTATAAAATGCTTATAGAATAAGGATATAAAAAAAGCTTTTTATTGTTTTCAATTTTTTGATCTTTTGCAATAACACTTAGCTTACAACAAACATATTGTACAGCTGTACAAAAATATTTTCTTTTTAAAAAATATGTTTTTATTGATTTTTAGAGAGAGAGGAAGGGGAAGGGACAGAGAGATAGAAACATCAATGAGAGAGAAACATCATCAATTGGCTCCCCAGCCAGCATGGCTCAGTGGTTGAGTGTCAACCCAGGAACCAACAGGTTACAGTTCAATTCCTGGCCTGGGCACATACCTGGGTTGTGGCTTGATCCCCAGCAGAAAGCGTGCAGGAGGCAGCCATCAGTGATGACTCTCTCATCATTGCTGTTTCTCTCTCTCTTTCTCTCTCTCCCTTCCTCTCTCTGAAATCAATAAAGATTATATATATATGCATATATATATATATATATATGTGTGTGTGTGTGTGTGTGTGTGTGTGTGTGTGTGTGTATATATATATCCCAATCAAAGGTCCAGGAAGTTATTACATGGATATTAGCAAACTGATTCTAAAGTTTAATGGAGAGGCAAAATATTCCAAATAGCCAGCACAATACTTAAGGAGAAAAAGTTGGAAGATGAATACTATCCAATTTCATGACATACTATAAAGCTACAGTAATCAAGACATTGCTATATTAGCAAAAGAATAGATGAATAGGTCAAAGAAACAGAAGAGATCTATGGAATAAAGATCTACACAAGATAGTCAATGGATCTTTGTAAAAAAATAAAGGCAATACAATAGATATACTTTTTTCAAAAGTAGGGCTGGAACGACTGGATATCTACATGCAAAAATAAATAAATCTAGACACAAACATTTTAAGCTTCACAAAATTTAACTCAAAAATAGATTATCCATATAAATGTAAAATTCAAAATTATAGAACTCTTAGAAGATAACATAGGAGAAAACCAGATGATCTTGGGTATGGTGAGGACTTTTTAGATACATCAAAAATACAATCCATGAAAGGCAATGGATAAGCTAGACTTTGTTAAAATTTAAAAACTCTGTTTTGTGAAAGACAGTGTCAAGAAAATGAAAAGATAAGACACAAACTGGGAGATAGTATTCGCAAAAGACATGTCTGATAAAGGACTGTTATTCAAGATATTTTAATACAACTCTTAAAACTCAACAAGAAAACATAAAACCTGATTTTAAAATGGGCCAAAGACATTAACAGATACCTCGCCAAAGATGATATATAGTTGTCAAATAACTAAGCATATAAAAAATGGTCCATATTATTTTTCATGAGGAAAATGCTCATTTAAACAATGAGATACAACTACACATCTATTAGAATGACCAACATGTGGAACGCATACAACACCCAATGCTGATGAGTTGTGGAACAAAGACTCTCATTTTTCATGAGTGGAAATGATAAGTGGTACAACCACTTTAGAAGACAGGAGATTTCTTACAAAATTAAACATACTCTTACCATACTATCATGCGTCTTGGTATTTACCCAAAGGAGCTGAGAACTTGTGTTCACACAAAAATTTGCACATGTATGGTTATAGCAACTTTATGCATAATTGCCAAAACACCGGTATATGGGAAATGTCTTGACCTTCCAAAAAACTGTTTTAAAAATATAATTTTATTTATTTATAAGTGAATATAAATGTATTGTAAAGTGTTAAATTTTAAACAGTGTTTCAGAAATTGTACAAATTTGTTTTCTCTCATGCTTTTCAAAAGAAATTAATAACTTAAGGAGCCTAGAAAAGTTATCTCTCGGTATCAACCCAGCTAATGACCTACCTCTGAGAAATTGGTAACTGTCTCCCACTGAAAATTTCACCTGTATATATATCACCTACATGAGGCATTTTGCCATAAATCCAGGCTACCTCTAAGAATTCTTTAAAAAGTCATTCCAGTAGATTCGCATGTAGGATTAAAATAGTACATTCAAACAATAAAAATATTGACATAGTAACTCAAATGTAGCAGCCCATTTATTAATTGCATGTTATTTACATAATTCTCCACTGTGTTCATAACTTATTTGTGTACTATAATTATGGGGGAAAGATTGATGGTGAATTTTAATTCTATATTTTTGTTTCATAATTCCTCAGTATGGCATTTAAAATGTCCTATGATACTATTTATGAACTTCTGCATACTTTTGCTCAGTTTCATTCTCTTCACTTTTGATTGACTTTATATTTGACACTGTGCATCACTGCTTCAGATACAGAATTTTAGTGAATACGCTATGTCTTTCTTAAAGTGTGATCTATAGGCTATACACAATAATTTCACCTAGAGAGCTGATAATAAAGGCAGGATGTCACACAAATAGAATAAGAATTCTAAAGGACATAAACATTTTGGCATGGAAGCTGTGAGGTGGTGTTCTTTCATCCAATCTCTCCCAACTTCAAGCTGAGTGTTTTCTGTGTATAAAACATATTTTCTGTGTATAAAAATGGTTGACTTGGTCATTTGCAAATACTCCTCCACAAATCTCCTAAAATTAATACTTAGAATCTGTCCCTTTCAAGAAACACCACTTAAAGGCAACACTAAAATAAATGTGTGATATCGGTAATGTGTATTTCACATTCTAAAGGGGATCATATTGGACATGAATTACTCAGGGAGTTCTTACTGAGAAAAAAAAGAACGAATCAATTGAAGTTGATTGGATTTGACTCAGGAAAGTAAGGTAAACTTATAATTGTGGAATTCTTCAACAATATGAATGAATGAGCTGGAAGGTAGAAATGTATTCCTGATAGGAAATTAGAAAACTGTTGAGAGGTGATTTGGTGCTAATATGATGGGATAATCTATCATCTGCCACTTAATTGGAAGGAAACAATGAGTACTAAATTCATCAGTACTTGGAGTGGTGGTTAAATTTTTTTATTTCATTTTTGTGAATTAATTTATTCATTCTTATTTTATTATATGAAATTTATTTTATTGAATGTATTATTGTATACATTACTGTTTCACTACCAAATGTTACCTCTCCCTCTCCCCACCCCGCTTTCCTTATTACTTTAAATTTCCCTTCCTTTCAAAATCTAGACATAATAAGCAATCTAGAAGACCTAGATTTTTTTTCCTTAATAGCACATCAGAATATTAGTGGTACATTTATTTTCCTAACAAACATATATGCTAATAACATCCACCCAACTTTCTTTACTTTCTCCAGGAAGACCCACTACATTATGTGAGACTATGGGGAAAGCAGAAATTTGGCTAATGAGGACATATTGGGATTTTGAATTTCCTCGCCCATACCTACCTAATTTTGAGTTTGTAGGAGGATTGCACTGTAAACCAGCCAAACCGTTACCTAAGGTAAGTCTATTTTAGTGGATGATTTTTTGTACCTTATGATAAAAATTCTGAATTTCCTCTAAAGTTTACAGCCTTAATAACAGAGATGTGCTGTTGGGTATCTTCAGTTTGCTACTCCAAGTCAATTTTCTAAGTCATAGGGTCTCTTATGAGTGAGACTACCTTTTTAAAATTACTTTACTTTGATATTTAAGCTGAAGAATGAAGTGATTTAAGGAACATATTGAAGAGTGTGTCTATAGTGTGGGTACTAGATTGAAGGGACAGGAAACTAAAGACTTGAAAGTCACTAAGGAGACTGCTGTAGTCATTCTAACAAGCATGATGGAATTATAAATAGGGGCACTTACTATGGTCGTTTGAGTGATAAAGAGACTCTCATGAGAACCGTTGGGTAGATTCCACAGGATTTGGTGAGTAGAAGGAATATTTTTATGAGCTTGCAAACAACTCTATTGGTTCATAAAATTAAGCCTTGGGAGTAACAGTTTCATGTACCATGGGAAGACCTATCTCTTATTATCTGTTCATTTGGTACAATGGTTTGACTCCATGCCTTTATTTATAATCACTTATTATATATTTAAGCCATAGTTCTCAGAAACATTTTTTTTCTCTTAAAGAAACCAGATGGTTCTGTGTGGTAGGATACAGAATGTCTCCAATACTTCTCTGGACCCTGCCTATTTAGAAATGTAGGGGGAAATTTTTCCTTGTGATCCTGTACTTTTATAATAGAGAGGATTTTATCTCTACAGGAAATGGAAGAATTTGTCCAAAGTTCAGGTGAACATGGTGTCGTGGTGTTTTCTCTGGGGTCAATGGTCAAAAACCTCACAGATGAAAAAGCCAATATCATTGCCTCAGCCCTTGCTCGGATTCCACAGAAGGTCAGTACAACCTATGATCCTAGTAAGCAGCCACTTTGCCAATTGGAGAGAAGGTGTGGCTAATAAAAAGTTGAAATTCATTATACATTAGCATTACTGGCACCACTTTTAAAATAAAAATTTCTCAAAACATTAAAATGTTGTATTGGGGCCCATTTGATCTTTTGCCTACTGAGCCTTTGCAATACTATGGAAGTACATCTTTTTATAAAGTTATTTCCAAGGAAATGGAGATAAAAACATTAAGATCCTAATAACTTCTTACTATTTGAAATTGTATGACTTGCACTGACTGACTACTCCTAAAAGTTCTCAAGTGTGTTAGCTCCAAGGTCCAGGAAAAGAGAGAGGTTATACATAGAGAGGAATCATGCTCAAGGATATACTTTATATCTCTAGGTTTTATTAAGACTCTATCAAAGTAGAGTTGCTCTAGAAGCCTATCTTTCTAAATTGATTTTCTACAGTTAAAAAACAAAGAAAAATCCTCAGATTATTGTCAAGCAATATATATTTTCTAATTTGTGATACTCAATTGACTTTAATTTTGTTGTCATTATAATTTTAGATTTCTACTCTTTATATATACTCTGCTAACCTAAAGAAATTAAAGGCCAAAGTGAGAGGCAACAAGTGTTTGAGGTCAAAAAAGAATTGCAATTCTGGGAAGCACTGATTCAGGCAGAAATGCAAGTGTGTTCTGGTTAGAAGGTGAAGGTGAAGATTACTTATGAAAAGGAAAGGGAAATAATTACATAAACAAAAGGAATAAATTTCTGTTGATGTTAATAAGCCAGGGGAGGGATTTCTATAGGTGCAAATAATCTAAGTGACTCTTTAGCCATAAGCAGTAGTGATAACGTTAAAGAATGTCTTTAATTTTCAGGTCGGTGCTCAGGATGTCTGCTTCCTTGTTAATTCTGCAAACAATTGTTTGGAATATAATGTTGCTCTCAGCCCAGTCTAAAGGTTATTTTGCCCAGTTTAAACCTTCAAAATGTTTGAAGAGTAAGACATGCAAGGCCTTGCTCTGAAATGGCAGCTTTGACTCCATTTTGAAGTGGCTCATTTATTTTTTTATTTTTTCTAATCCTCACCTGAGGATATGCTCATTAATTTGAGAGAGTGGGAGAGAGAGAGGGAGAAAAAGAGAGATGAGAACAGTGAACATCGATCGGCTGCCTTTTGTACATTCCCTGATCGGGGATGGAACTACATATGCTCCCTGACCAGGAACAGAAGCCACAACAGGACAATGCTCCAACCAACTGAGCCACACTGGCCAGGCCCATTTATATTATTTTTCACATGAAATATCCAAGGACTCTATATTTGCATATTAGTTAAAACTCTGTAATGACCTGTATACTAATCAGGCCTGTTAAAACTTTGGATTTTTATTTGTAAAAACCTTTTATTTTTATTTCTAACAAACTTTCCTGTTAAGAGTTTGCCACCTATTAGTATATAATCTGGAATTTGTCTTATAGAGTCCCCCAAAAGAAAAATTATGTAATGAAAGATTAACATCCTAAATAGAATATTATTTAATGAAGTATCTCATCCTTCCTCCAAAACTATAAAAAGAAAGATTAAAAAAAGGAAGAAGGAAAGGGAAAGAAAAAGAAAGGAAGGAAAGAAGACAGGAAGGAAGGAGGAAA